CATAGGACCTTTGATCTTGCCAGTAGATCCACAACTAGAAGACATTGGTGGAAGCATCCTTCCCCACTTTTGTGATTTTGGTGGAAGCGACGAAGCATCGTCACCTTCTTCTGTTTCATCATCATCATCAAGATTATAAAGTTCTTGTTCATGAATCATTTGAGTCTTTAACTCTTTCTTTTCTTGAAGGTAAGCTTTCAATTCTTCCTTCACATGCCCCGGAACTTTAGGACAAGATGCGACATTTGGATAACCACCGATTAGATGCGCTTTTTGATGATAGATTCCTCCATTTGTAATCTTATCACAAAAAGACATCTAATGGCCATCTTGTTGGTCTCGTTAACTCTTGCAGAGTAAGCCTAAACCGGGTCTTTCCTATCTTCTTTTGGCGCCATTAAAAGAACAACTACATAACACATAAGAAAGGCAATAAGAACTAAGAATAAAAGATACAATAATTGGGCAGAAACTTGGCAAAAACTGGGCAGAATTTTTCTGAAAAAAATTCGCGGTGCTTTTTGGACGTTTAGAAAGAAAAAGAAAAAGAAGAAAAAGAAGAACAATGAAAATAAAAAGTGCAGAACATACCTGTTGAAAGTTGTTGTTGTACTGTTGAAGAAGAAGAAGAAGAACCCTAGTTTGAAGAAGAGAAATCACTGCTTGAAGTTGATGAAAAAGAGAGGAAGAAATCGCTGCCGAAGAGCCCTAGTTTCTTGTTGTCGTTGCTGAAGAAGTCCAGAGAACTAAAATAGAACCAAGTTTTTAATTAAATAGGGCTTTGGGTCTTTTAAATCAAAAAGCGTCCGCTTCGCTCGCTTCTTCTCGCTTCACCGCTTCTCACTTTTTACAGAGAAGCGGTCGCTTATACATACCATAGCCGCTTTTAATGGTAGAAGCGCTGACCCTTCCGCTCCGCTTCTCACTTAAAGCGAGGAAGCGCTCGCTTTTTTTATCACTGGGGGCTACACGAAGGATCTGTACTCAGCCTATTCCTATTTGCCTTGGTGATGAATGCTCTGACAAGCCATATTCAAGGGGAGGTGCCATGGTGTATGTTATTTGCTGACGACATTGTTCTGATTAATGAGACGCGAGACGGCATCAACGAGCGATTGGAGGCTTGGAGACAGGCCTTTGAGTCTAAGGGTTTCACATTGAGCAGGACTAAGACGGAATACCTAGAGTGCAAGTTCAGCGTCGAGCCGACGTAGCGGGATTGGACGTTAGGCTTGGATCACAGGTCATCTCCAAGAGGAGCAGTTTCAAGTACCTTGGGTCATTTATACAGAGGGATGGGGAGATCAATGAGGATGTCACTCACTGTATAGGGGTGGGGTGGATGTGGAGGTTAGCGTCTAGAGTCTTGTGTGACAAGAAAGTGTCACCGATACTCAAAGGTAAGTTTTATAGAGCGGTGGTTAGGCCGGCTATGTTGTATGGGGCGAGTGTTGGCCAGTTAAGAACTCACATATCCAAAAGATGAAAGTAGCAAAAATGAGGATGTTGAGGTGGATGTGCGGGCACATTAAGATGGATAAGATTAGGAATGTAGATATTCGGGAGAAGGTGCGCGTGGTCCCCATGGATGACAAGCTGTGGGAAGCTAGGCTCAGATGGTTCGGGCATGTTCAGAAGAGAAGCCCAGATGCCCCGATAAGGAGGTGCGAGCGGCAGGCTTTGGTGGGCGCGAGGAGAGGTAGATGGCGGCCTAAGAAGTATTGGCGAGAGGTGATCAGCCAGGACATGGCGAGGCTTCAGATTACTGAGGACATGGCCCTAAATAGGAAGTTGTGGAGGTCGAGCATTAGGGTTGTAGGTTAGGAGGTAGTTATGCATATTCTTATGGCGCGCCAGAGTGAGGCTAGTCTGTTAGGATTTTGTCGTAGACTATTAGTGGTTAATGTTGACTTCACATTACTCTTTCGTTCCTCTTAGTGTCGGGCTTTATCTACTGGTTATTGTTTTGCTTTTCGTCTATGTTCTTGTGATGTTGTTATTTCTTTCTAAGGTTTATCGATGGTACTGATATACTGTCTTTTTTCGTCTTCTTTTCATCTTCTTCAGCTGAGAGTCTATCGAAAATAATCTCTCTACCCATCGGGGTAGGGGTAAAGTATGCGTACAAATTACCCACCCCAGACCCCACTAGTGGCATTTCACTGGGTTGTTTTGTTGTTATTTTTGAGTATTTCCTCTGTTCCGAAAATGACGAAAGCGTTTGGAGTAGGAGGTCCAAATCATATGATTTTCGGGTGCATTGGAACAAAAAAAAATCTATCTTTTTACTCCTCTGTCCCATTTTGTGGCATTGTTTGACTGACCACGGAGTTTAAAACAGAAAGACTTTTGAAACTTGTGGTCTAAAACCAGTCATAAACATGTGTAGCTATAAATCATCTCATTAAGGATAAAACGAGAATTTTAAATTTGAATTGTTTCTAAATATAGAAAGGTATGATTTTTCTGTGACAGACTAAAAAGAAAAGTTTGCCACATATATTGAAACTGAGGGAGTAGAAGAAAATTGAAACACTAAGAAACTAGATGAAGAAGAATTATGAATCACAACCAATTATAACTATAAAAATTTAAAAATATAGAACATTTTAGTAAAAGAAAAAAACTTTTTGCTTGCGCAAACTGTAATAGTGCCAACTTTTAATATTCCTTAGCAAAAAATTCTCACAAACACACCCTTATTATCTTGCAGAATCAAAGAAGCATCAGCACTTTCTGCCAGAAGCGTCCATGGCGCAGAAATGAAATGCTTTGGTCCTCTCTTTTGCAACCTACCCATTATGACAGGTTGACAATAGGCAGAAAGATTCTAGATACTCACATAAGAGTAGAGCAGCTGCAGTAGCAACCGGCAAGTTGGTTAAGTTTAAAAATAAATTTCTGTTTAAAGTTTAGAACGGGGCTTTTTTATAACATACAACAACAACAACCTGGTAAAATCCAACAAGTGGGTCTGGAGAGGGTAGAGTGTGTGCAGACCTTACCCCTACCCGGAGGGGTAGAGAGGCTGTTTCCGAAAGACCCTCGGCTCTAGAAGACGAAAATAAACAATATGCAACTCAAAATTGTTAAGGGGCATCACTCAACCTCAAATGTAGTTGAAGAAGTGAGAACTGCCCAAGATCAATAAAGAGACAACAACATATTCTCTCAACCAATATAGGACACTATAACACCCACACCTCCCTTCCCGTCACTCTCAAGACTAGACATCTAGAGCGTGAACATCATAACATGGGAGCCCACAACTAAGTAAACCAAGAATATGGATAGATCTGGCTCCATTACCATACCAAGAAAATGGGCCTTGGCCCTAATTCAATCCCAAAAGCTAGCTCATGCGGTAAGAAATACCAAGAACTTAAGAAGACAACAAACCATTCCCTCAACTCTTTGCTTGCCCAAATTGCAATATTGTTATATAAAAAGGGATGCGTGGAATACCAACTGTTGAAATTCTTAAGCGAAAACCCTCATAAACCAACCCTTGCTTATCTTGCAGAACGAAGAAGCATCAGCACTTGCTGCCAGAGAAAAGTCCATGGCTCAGAACTGAAATGCTTTGGTCCTCTCATTTGCAACTTACCCATTATGACAGACTGACAATAGGCACAAAGATACTTGATTCTCACATAAGAGTAAAGCAGCAGCTGCTGCAACCGACAAGTTTGATTAAGTTTCAAACTAAACTTCTATTTTTGTTTTTTGAAAGACAAGGAAATTCGAAGTTTAAATCATTGGAAAACAGAATTCCCAACACAGATTTTAATGGTCAAGGATCTTAAACTACATTGCAACTGGAAAAGCAATTCCAATATGTCAGAACAGAAGAAGGCCATCTGCTTGAATTTTCCACTTAAAAGAGAGAAGTTCCCTTTGCCTTCTTATCTCCACCAATCTCAAAGGGCTTACACCGCTTGATTGGGTGCTGGGATACATGTTTGCACACTTGGCATTGCAACCTTAGCACAATCTTCTTGGTAGTTTTAGCCTTCTTGTGGAAGATAGGTTTTGTCTGTCCACCATAACCTGATTGCTTGCGATCAGAATGTCTCTTCCCTTGAGCAGCTAAGCTATCTTTTCCTTTCTTGTATTGAGTAACTTTATGCAGGGTGTGCTTCTTGCACTCCTCCTATTTGCAGTAAGTCTTCTTAGTTTTTGGTTTCACCATTGTGAGAGCTGATGGGGTTTGTTACAGGAAGCACCTTTTGGTCTAACGGCGTCCACAGAGCCTTTTTAAAACTGGGATTTTCTGTTCACGTTTAGAACTGGGATTTTTTGTAACATGCAACTCAAAAGTGTTACATTTGGTGTAACCCAACCCAATATGTAGCTCATAAGGTGGAACCGCGCCAGATCATATAAAGAGACAACACATTCTCTCAACCAATATGGGACACTATAACACCACCCTCATCCCTCCCCCCCGGGCACTCTCAGGGCTAGACATCTGGAGCATGAAAAATACAACATGGGCATCAACGCTTCAGTAAACCAAGATTATGGATAGGTCTGGCTCCAATACCATATAAAATGGACCTTGGGCCTAATTCAACCCCAACTCATGTGGTGAGAAATGCCCAAGACCTCAAGGAGATAATAACTCATTCCCTCAAGCAATATAGAACACTTCAACAAAGAGTATTTTAAAAACAAAACAACAGGTATAGTCAACATTTGCAGGTTCTGAATAGGTTATCTTCTTTCCAAAAATTAATTGAATTTTAGACATTTGGGTTGGATGCTTGTAAAATCCTAATTTCACAGGATTTAAACCCAAGTGTTAGGATTTTAACCCAAGTGTGTCCAATTGAAGGTTCTTTCCTTGTGATTTTCACCCAGTGGCCAATAGGTGTCATTTGGAAAATCAAAATTCTTGCATACCAGAAAATAAGATATTGGAACGAGACAGTGTTTGCAGAGGCCTGGATATTTAGGTAGTTTCCCAACATAGAATACCTTAAATTCACATATTTTCACAAAAGAGGGAGACTCACCACTGTACTTCCCGTTCCTTTCATAGTCTTCCAAAAAATGAGACACTACAGTAGTTGGGATGACATAACCAATATTTTCAGTCTCATCTGACCTGTAAACCTAAAAGACTTTTCTTGTCAAAACATATATCTTAAAAGAAAGCACAAACTTTAAAAAGAACTTTTCAGAGGAAAACATGAAGGGAGAGTCATCAAATTGTCATAGTTGAAGAAACCAGCATGATGATAACCATGTTTTGATGGGGAAATGCACAAGGAAATGAGTCGCCCACTGATCAAAGGGCAGAACATATTGCTGTTTCGATTCAGGAAATTTGAACTTGTAAAGCAGAAAATATATCAAGAAAAGCTTCAAATAAGCAAAATGTATAAAAAGTAATTTGTGATATTATTGATGAGGCATATGGCTTCGGAGGCAATTACCAATTCCCAATGGTAGTAGTTTTATGGTCTGTCTTGAAGCAAGGTTTCAGACTAGTTCAAACATGCATTTCCGAACCAATGATGATAGCAGTAGCGGTAGAATGAAGAACTAGGGCAATTAAGTAGTTAGAAACCAATTGAAACTTGAAGAGCAAAAGCTGCATCCCAATTTATAAAGACATTATCCTTTATAGACCAAATGGTAATCCACAAGAAGCCATAATTTAGTAACCTGACAATAGCAATATCAGATTCAGACAAGAAACTACCTGAAATGCCACCCCTATGCACTCTCCATCGTCATTGAATGCAGGGCCACCACTATTACCTAAAACAGTTGCTATTAGTAGCAGAAACTACAGTACAGAGAGAAAGCACAAGCCATGATCAAGCACATGCACGAAGTCATAACAAAAAGTTAGATTTTCTTTTCTTTTTTCTTCTTTTCTTTTATAAGGTATAAAACAAGCTAGATTAATAAGAGAAATTTATTGGGCATTCTTTTATAAATCAAGAGTCTCATCATCAATGACCATATTTACCAGGATTTATTGCTGCGTCTATTTGAATGCCCAGCAGCTCAGATGATCCATGAGCATATGACGTGACCTAATGATGAAGACCAATATATGAGTTAGCACCAGTATTAAACATTTAGGAGAACAAAATAGTATAATGTGTTGTTTATCACGAGGAGTAAAAGGGAAGATCGACTTATTTTCCAAAAATTTCCCCCATTTCAGTATTAACTAAGAAATAAGGAAGCTGTTTACTTTTTTTGGTGATAAGTAAAACACCAGAGCCACTGTAAGTGATAAACTTTAACTGTAACAATAACCATTAAAAAGTGGGCAATAGTAAGAAACAAAACAGCATAAAAGTAAAAGAAAATTCAAAGAGAAAAAAACAATTATCACAAAGAAGAAAGGATATTCGCCATAGTGCTTAGCTTCCATCAAGATGCTAAATTGCTGGAGGTCATTGATGGAATGTCATTTTGCCCACTGTCCAGGTAATACAATAGAGATGTTCCGCAAATTTTAGTTTAGGATGACGAACCTGATCTATAGTAAACGAACTGCCTTACAGCATAGGTTCTAATTTTGGAAGTAGAAGCAACAATATGCATGGTATCTCTTTATTGCTTCTATACCATGTCAGTAATAAGCATTTGTGAAATTCATGTATTATCTATGGAGGTTCCTAAGTAAATATTTCACGGTTCTTCTAACTGTAGAAAACGGTTACTCTTCAATATCAATGTGATAAGAGAAGGAGCAATCATAACATCTTAATCCAAATGGTGTGACCAGAAAATGATAAGGAGCAGCACCGGCGAATGGAGGAATACGGACTTTTAATGAAGATGAAGTCACTGCCTGGTAGCATAGATAAATTGATGCAACATTAAACTGAAATCCAAACAACATAAACAGACCTCAATTCTTGATACCACCCCTTTGGTCACAGAAATAGTATCTCCTCCAAGTGGATAACCTACAACAGTTACAGCATCCTGCAAGTCAGAAATAACTTCCAGCTTAAGAATTATACCTATGTAAAATGCAACAGACTTGGACAGATTCGAATTTGGGTATTAAATAAGAAGTCAAGATTTCATCAGAACTTCAATTGAAAATGGCAATTTCAGAAGAAGAAAATGGTTCAGCAAACTTCAAATGATAAAGTAATATATCCATATGGCTATTAGAGGTTTTTACTCTCTGTGAGCCACAAATTAGCTATTCCCAAAAATTAAGCAAGTTTTTTGAGCAAAGATTTCACAAATTTCATGTAGAATTACTATTATTACTCCTCACAGAATAATTAAATCCAAATAAAAGCTAAGCATCGACTATTATTTCTTCAATTGAAGCCTAACATTATACCAAACTGCTGGCATAAATAAGACATACCAGTACCACTAATATCAGAAACAATCTCAACCTTATGATAGAGTATCGGCAAATCCAAGATATATTCCACCAAAATCAAGTATGATTGGAAAACATTGTATATGACAAAATTAAGATAAATGAGAAAGCAAATATTTCAAAAATACATGCATATATTTGGCACCAGAACTTATCTGTACTGAGGAATGTGAGATGCACCTGCAGATGAGGCAAGTGTCCAAAGCAGAGGGGCTCAGCTCCTTCCCAGAAGTCCTTACTTTCCACAGATAGCAAGGCTATATCACACTCCACTCCTCTAGCTAGAACCTGCATTTAACAGATGATGAAACTAAGCATCAAAAACCAATGACATTTTAGCTTGACACCACTTTCTGGTAAAGAGCCTTTTGACACCACTTTTCACCTAAGAATACTTATCTTTCCGATAGATCAGGCCTAAATGTAATCATCTCTCACTCAGCTTCTGGTTTTCAGCATAAAATAAGAAATTTTGTTAAAAATATTCCAGGAACCAAAAATCAATTACGTTATAGCACTTTCGATATTGACTCTCATCTATAAAAACCAACTTTTCAAACGATCAGGCCCCTATACTCACCTAGCCTATGATTCTCAACATCAAAAAAGAGATCTTATTAAAGAATAGCATCCCTTCGTTCAATTTATAGTCTAACATTTAGCAGGCATCACTAAATGCATCGTCTTAAAGTATTTGCTGGTTGTCAAGACTCCAGATTCAATTTATTATTTCGCCTTACAAAAGAAAAGAAAAAAAGTGAAGGGGTCTATTTAGTTTACCTATCAATTGTTTAAAATCGGAAACTTTTCGGGAGCTTCCAGTGCGGATGGTATTTGCATACGCACATATGCAGAGAGACAGAATAAGAACGGTCGAAATAATGAGTGGAACCACTGATAACTAGAGGACTGTAGTTCTTTTTTTTGATAAGGTAAATTGTATTAATCAAAAGGGAGGGAACTCTCGTATACAGGAAGTATACCAAAAAGTAGAGAGTTTACATCAGAACATGATTCTCTACAAAAGAAGCCCAATCTTCTATACAAGTAGGGGCTATATGAGTGCACCAAAATGCGATCAAAGATAAAAGACTATTCTTAAGATGTGAAAAAGGAGACTCAATCCCCTCAAAAGCTCTCCTATTTCTCTCCCCCCAAACTATCCACATGAGAGCTAATGGGGCGAACTTCCATGCCTTTTGCTTTCTTCTTCTACGGAAACTGGCCCAGGTATATAACATTTCCTTTACAGTGCTTGGCATCACCTAGCTTGGCATCACCCATTGAACACCAAAAAGATTTAGCCATTTAGGATTGCGCTCCACAAAGCCGAGGACACAGGGCAATGCAACAAAAGATGATCAACTTCTTCCCCTGAGCTTTTACAAATGTAGCACCAACTAACAAGTATGATTCCTCTCTTTCGCAGATGTTCAGCAGTCAAAATCACTCCCCTCGCTGCTAGCCATGCAAAAAAGCACACCTTCGTGGGCGCCTTAGGAATCCAG